CTGGTGAAGCGCGCCTATGGCACAAACTTTGTTGAGACGCTGCGCATCCAGATACACGCCAACTGCCGCGTGAGGCGCGTGTATTTCAGGTGAGGGCGGGGCGCTCTCGAGGTTTGGTTGCTGTGTGTGTGTTTTGTTTTGTGTGTGTGTGTGTGTGTGTGTATGTGTGTGTGTGTGTGTGTGTGTGTGTGTGTGTGTGTGCATGTTTGTGCTTGTTGGCCGAATGGGTACAGTGTCAGTCGGGCCGCTGTGCAGCCACTCGTCGGCCCCTGTCTCTCGCCTGGACTCCGCGCGCAGCCTCGCCGCCGCTGCACCTCATCGCACGAGCCACACCCTTCAGCCTGCGCCGCTGCCCCACCGTGTTCCTCGTCTCCTGGATTTCACAATCTCCAATTTCAAACCACTTGTTTTCTACGTCTGCCGCCCAGCGACCGCGCCTACGGGGAGGAGGAGCTGCCAGCAGAGTTCCGCCTGTACGTGCCGCTGGCCCCAAAGTGATCTGGGCCAGCGGAATCTGGCATCACGTCATCCCCGCCCCGCCGCCGGCCGGCAGCGAAAGCGTCTGGCGGCCGCGGCCCGCCGCCGCTCCACGAGGCGCATCCCACCGAAGCGCGCGCCGCGGGTCCAAAGCCGACGGCCTTCGTTGGCCCGGGTGGGAGGATGCGGCCACGGCACAGCGGAACCGCCCCGGCCGCGTAATCTGGTTCCGCCGCTTTGCTTTTCAGAACCTCCACGCCTGAGAGTGCCACTAGCAGCTGCAGAAGCTGCATAGCCCCCGCCTCGCCCTTGTCTGAGGGCCCCTCTGGTGCGGCCCCCGGGCCTGCCACCCCACCTCCGGCGCGACGGCTGCGCTTGTCTGCGCCCAATGCGCAGCAGGATGAAGCGTGCTGCCGGCTTGCCTTCGCGGATGTGGCACCATTGAGCTGCCCCAGGTGTAACCCGCCTTTGGACCAGAATCTTGTGGAGGCCAGAGCCGCGCCAGCTTCCCATTACAGGCTGCGCAGCTTCACACCAGCTGCAGGCACACAGCAGCTTACATCAGCAGCAGGCGCGTGGCCTGCCTGCACAGCGAGTGCAGGCTACCAACGCGACGCGCTCTGGCGCGGCCAGGGCTTGCGTGCATCTACAGGTGTCACCCAGGTCACGCCGCCGCCCCCGTCCCGAGTGTCACCGGCCGCCGCGGAACGTGTTTGACGAGCCGCCGCCGCTGTAGATCATGTCGTGGTAGCTGTGGCTCCTCAGGCTGCGGTACGTGCTGTACATGTCACCCGGGTCACCCGGCGCGTCACCGCCGCCGTCCCGCCGGCCGCCGCCGCCGGGCGGGCCGCCCATGGCCCCCAAGCCCGCGCGCTGCACCTTGGGACCTGGCGCGGCGCGCGTGTGCGGTGATTGGGATGGAAAGGCAAGGGCGAAGCGTGGGCAAACCATGGCACATTGAAAAATGCAGAGCTCTGATGCATCAGAGCACAGAGCGAGGGGCGGCGGCGTCCCTCAGACGGCCGAAAACAGGCCGGGCGCCCCGAGCGCGCCCGCGCAGAGGGACGCGACAACGGTGTTCCCGCTGACATCCGGCCCCTGTGGGCCGACGGGAGCGCCGCCCGGCTCTGCCTGCGGGGCTGCTCAGATGCAAATGACCTCCCCAAGGCAGTTGGTAGCCAACATAAACGCCCCGGCCACCCACCCGCATAGGACCCGTCTGACCGCATCCCTGTGGTCGGGTCGAGCGCCATCCGCCGCGGCGGCGAGCGCTCCTGCCGCCGCCGCCGCGCGCGCGCGCCCGCCGCCGCCCCAAACTCGTCGTCGCTGTCTGGGCCGAGGCCCATGCGCTCGCGCTCCGCCTGGCGCTCCTCCTCGAAATCGATCCTGAGGTTTTGGATTGGTTAGGATAGCATCAGATACGGCGAAAAGCGTGGACGGGCGTGGTGATTGCATACTGGTGGCGCGCTTTTGGGGCGCACGCCCTTGCCCCCACTTGCACTGGAGGGGCGCAGACGATCAGGGGGTTGCGAGGAAGCAGGGGCATGCTCGTGCGTGTGTGGCTGTGCATCCGAGGGTGTGGGTGCACTCCGCACCCTCAGAGTGGCATCCAAGGTTGCGTGTGCTGGGCCGCGTCCAAAGGGCCCCGTCACAGCAGTGGCCTGGCGGGCGCGCGCCATTCGCCGGGCGCGCGAGGCGCAAGGTGTTGCTATGCGCACCTGCTCTGGCCCTGTTTGTAGTTTGTGACCTCGAGCTTGAAACGCGCCAGCCTGTTAGCAGGCGGCGGGGTCACAACAACAAATGATGTCGAGGCATAGCATGGTGAGTGACGCAGAGCAGGGATCTCGACGCGTTTTTGAAATAGGTGAGCTTGGAGCTGAGGTGACAAGCAGGAAGGGAGTGCAAGGTAGTCGCAAGAAAGGCAGCAAGCAACGGCGTGTGGCGTGACTTGACTTGCAGCACCACATTCAATACGCCGCACGCGCAAGGTCAAAAGCGCACGCACGCTCGCGAGTGGATCGCACTGGAAGGCCCGCCCACGCACCTGTGCGAAAGGTACGAGTCTTTCTCAGGCATCGGCGGCAGCCCCGCCCTCTCGATCTCGTCCGCAGGGATCGGCGCGTACGCCTCCGCCCACTTTGACTTTTCTTTGACCAGCTGCGGTATCAACCCTGGCGGGAAGTTGAAGCTGCTGACGCCCTGGGGCTCGTCCAGCTTCACGGCAGCTGCCACCGCGTGGTGCTGCTGCTGCTGCTGGTGGGGGCCGCCGCCAGGGTGCGCGGCCGCCATGGGGTGCGGGGCCGGCGCCGGCGGGCCGGCGGGCGCGTAGCCGCCGGGGCCGCTGGGGTCGGGCTGAGGGGCGGCAGCATAGGGCTGCGGCGCTCCGGGCTGCGCCGGCCAGGCGGGCGCGCCGTGCGGGGGGGCAGTGTAGGCGGGAGCGGGCCAGCCCGGGTGCGACGCGGGCTGGGGCGCCCACGCAGCTGCAGGGAGGGGGGAGGGGTTGAGCGGGCCCATTGTTAATGCACGGCTGGGCGCCGGCGTTTCACCAAGCATGAGCCCATGCAATTTTGGAATCAGATCCATCTTCAAACTTGCGGTACGGGGCGCGTCGGCCCAGAATCAAAAAGCAAGGCAGCCCCCGCAAAACACACACACACACACACACACACCTGCCGCCACAGGCGCCGCCGCCGCCGGGTATGCCGCTGGCGCCGCCGCTTGAGGGTAGGCATACGCTGCGGCCGCCGGCGCCGCCGCGACCGGCGCCGCGAGCTGCGGCGGCGGGGCAAACCCGATCGGCCCGACGCCCGCCGCCGCCATCGCCGCAGACGGGTCCTTGCTCGCGAACTCGCGCCGCACGCGCGCCAGCGTTGACTGGTCAAACACGCCCTTCTCGCACCAGAAGTCCAGGATGCGGCTGACCTTCAGCAGGTGGTCTGTGTTGTCACCCGCCAGCCGCGCCCCCGCCGCCAGCATCGCGCCCACAAACGGCGCGAACGCGGCGATCACCGCGTCGGACTGCGCAGCGCCGGCCTGCGGCGCCGCGGCAGGCGCGGCGCCGGCGGCGGCGGCCGCGGCGGCGGCGGCGGCCTGCAGCTGCTTTGCGGCGATGGCTTTGAATATGATGTCGTTGGCCAGATATATAATGTGGAGCTGCTTATCGGTGTCGCGGCTGGCGATCGCGCGGTCGGCCATGAGGCGCGCCATGCCAGGGGCATAGGGGGCGCACGCCATGAACCAGGCCTGGCTGGCCTTGATCGAATCCTGCATGGGGCGATGTTTTTGATGGGGTTTTGCCGGGGGCATGGAGAAGGTAGCAGCTGGTTGGCAGTTTTTGGGGACGGGGGAACCAGAGTGCGGGTAGCGATGAGGCGGAGAGCGCGTTCAGGGGTCCAGCCAAACACGGTGGGCTGGGTGATGTTGAGGCCGCTTGCCGTGGGCATGCGAGGGCCTCGAGCGGCGTGCGGGCAGCGGGCGGGCGTGGCTGCTCGGGCGGGCGCGAGCACTTGGGGATGCGCCCGCACATCGCGGGTGTTCGTGCGCTGCCCTGTCTCGAAAACACCACGGATTTTAAGCGATGCCCCATCTTGGATCACTGATGCAACATGATCAACATATGATGTATACATCGTTGCAATCTTCAAGGACAAGATCTCACCTTGCTGCCTGTCAGTGCGTCCAGCACCTTGCCAAACCCTGTGGACACCTCAGGCGGCATGCCGCCCGGCGCGGCCTGCCCCGGCTGCGCCTGCGCCAGCTGCTGCTGAGGTTGGGGCGCATAGGCCGGCGCTGCGGGCGCCGCCACTGGGTATGCGGGCTGCGGGACGTAGGCTGGGTAGTGCGCGGCCGCGGCGGACACCTGCGGGTGGTAAGCGGCCG